TTTAAATAATTTTCCGCCTCCACCACCACCTCCACTGGCTCACACAAAAGTTTTAGGTTCCGGGCCCCCCTCTCCGAGTAAGTAACGGATAATTTTTTTTTTTTTTTGGAATTTTTTAATTTAAGTTAAAATAATTTTTTTTATTGTCAATTAAAAGATTCTGGAATGGGGGGTCCACCGTTACCGCCTCCGCTTCTTCGTACGGAAGCTGATCCGGCGCCGGGAGTCGAACAACCTGACATGGCGGGTTTAAAACTTCTTCCGCAGCAAGAAATTCCCACGCCCAAAGCAAAAATGAAAACTATCAACTGGAACAAAATTCCAAATCACAAGGTAATTATAAATAAATAAATTTTTTCATTTCCGGAAACTCCACCGGATATCACTCTAATGTTTGTTTATAAATTATCGAACAGGTCGTCGGGAAAAATAATATTTGGTCGATCGTTGCGAGGAGTCATCAACACACGCCGATGGTTGATCTCGATTGGGCGGAAATGGAAGGTCTTTTCTGTCAGCAAACTCCAGCCATTCAAACATTGACGGCATCACCGAGGTTAGGACGTGAAATTCACGAACCTGACAGAAAAAGAAAAGAAACGTCGGAGGTAATGCACGTCTCGGTTCCCTCCTCCTCCTTCCCCCATACTTCCCCGCTCACCTTTGACCTTGACTCTAATTCTTCTTCTGCTTCTTCTTCTAGATTGTTTTGCTCGATGGAAAACGAAGTTTAAATGTAAATATATTTTTAAAACAATTTCGAAGTTCCAACGAAGACATAATACAATTAATCAAAGATGGCGGTCACGACGACATAGGAGCGGAAAAACTTCGGGGATTATTGAAAATTCTACCGGAAATAGACGAGTTGGAAATGTTGAAATCTTTCGACGGTGACAAATCGAAATTGGGAAATGCGGAAAAGTTTTTAATGCAACTCATATCAGTGCCGAAGTAAGGAAATATTTTTCGGTCCTCCCCCCGGAAGGAGAAAAGCCGTTTTTTTCTTTTAATGGTTTTTTAATATTATTATCATCATCATTATCATTATTATCCTTTCAGTTACAAATTAAGAATCGAAAGCATGTTGTTAAAAGAAGAATTTGCTGCCAATATGGGTTACCTTGAACCCAGCATAAATTCCATGATCGTAGCTGGAGAAGGTGAATTTTTGAAACAAATTAATCATAATGATAATGATAATATGTATCATTAATATTATTATTATTATTATTTTCAGATCTTATGACGAATAAACAATTGCAAGAATTATTATACATGGTCGTCGTTGCTGGAAATTTTTTAAATTTTGTAAGTTGAGACCAAAAAAAAACTTTTTTCCCAAAAAAATTTTCCAAAGAAAAAATTTCCAAAAAATATTTGTGATTCATTTTCAAAATTTTTTAATTTTTTTTTTAAAAACAGGGTGGTTATGCTGGAAACGCTGCTGGAGTTAAATTAACATCACTTCAAAAATTAACAGACATTCGTGCCAACAAACCTGGAATGAATTTAATCCATTATGTCGCCATGGTAAGTAAAAAATTTCATCCTATAAGATTTCCATTTGAGGACGACATACGATTAATTATTATCATTATTATTATTGTTTTATTAATTCCAGCAAGCGGAAAGAAAACGTAAAGAATTACTTAAATTTCCAGAGGATTTATCCGCTTTGGACGATGCCACGAAGTAAGTTTAACGAAGAGTTTATTTACTCTATGATTTTTTAAATTATGGCTCATTTTACTTTTCGTTTTTGTATTTCAGGACGACAATCGAACAATTACAAAATGAAATCAATTTATTAGATTCGAGAATAAAAAAAGTTCGTAAGCAAATAGATTTGCCATCGACGGAAACGGAAATCAAATCTCAAATGATTGAATTCCTTCAGGTAATTTGATTATTGTCATCTTCTTTCTTTTTTTTAATTTACTTTATTATCATTATTATCATTATCATTAATATCATTTCTTGGATTTGATTTGGTTTCAGATGGCGGAAAGAGAAGTCGCAGGTTTGCAAAAGGACATGGACGAATTGGAATCCGTTAGAAAATCACTCGCGGAATTTTTCTGCGAAGATCCTGCCACGTTCAAACTGGAAGATTGTTTTAAAATACTTCACGGATTTTGTGTTAAATTTAAACAAGCCGTTGCGGAAAACGAAAGAAGGAGAATTCAAGAAGAGCAAACGTACCTGAGGAGGAAACAAAGAGAAGAACAATTGGCAGCCAAAAGACGTCAACGTAAATAAAAAATTTTTTTTTACCTTTTTCTTCTTCTTTCCTAAGATATCAAATGACAATTATTATTATTATTATTATTATTATTATTATTATTATTATTATTATTATTATTATTATTATTATTATTATTATTATTATCATTTGATTCCTTTTTTTTTTTAAATGGATGGTATTGATATTTTATTACAGTTAACTCGAATAACTCCGATATGTTAGATTGCAACAGCATGGTCGATAACATATTCTGCGATATAAGATCTGGATTCTCGCCAAAGAGGTCAATGGACAAAGATGGAAAAGTAATTTAATCATTATTATTATTATTTTTACCTTTTTTTATTATTATTATCTCGGTAAAGAGGAAACGTGAGGAGGAAGTTAGGGGTGTGTGCACGCGAGATTATCCTGACCGAAGCCGACACTTTCTCGTGTTCCTTCGGGATCTTAACCCCCTGGAATTTTTGGATGCACCACTTTGACCCGTCGTTTTGCCTCCCTTTTTCCCCTTCGCCGAAGCAGTAGACAAATATCGAAATCTATTCTTTTTCTAAAACCACGACGTTTTCCTATTTGCTTCTAATTACACTTTTTTTTTTTTTAATTTCAAGATGAGAAAATTACAAAATGGTAATATGACTTCGGAAGATGACAATATGAGTTCTCCAGGTTTGTCGAGACGTCGAATGGGATCCTTTTCCGGTCATTTAGTCGAAAATCACGCTCAGGATTCTCCCGGTTCGTGCCACTTTTTTTTACGTTCGTTTTTGACTTTTTTTTTCTCGAACGAAGTGTCAAGAGACATTTTTTTTTTAACAGACATAACTCCGACTGGTAGCTTACGTAGAAGAAGGAGTCGAGTACCAATGGAAGAAGACGATTCTAACTTGATGGATTTTTTACGTACTTCCGGTCAAGAAATTGCTTGCAGAGAAAGAAAATCTTGGGGATCACTCGGTCGGTTAATTTTCTTTTCACGAAACCAATTTTGTAGATGGAAAACGTTTAACGTCTAATGTTTAACTTTTAGATCGTTCGTGGGCGAGACGTGCGAGAGGAGGTCGAAGAAGACCCGATTTATTATCCGCAGATTTTTCCGGCGAAAGAGAAAGGCCAACATCACCGTCACCCTTGGCCGAACATAAACCTTTAATACCTGTACCGGAAAACGAAGATAAACCTAGGTACGAAACTTAAACAAACAAAATCGTGTTAAAAAATTTTTCATTTTATTTATCATATATCGATCGATGTTTCAGAGCATGGAAACAAAAAATAGAGGCGTGGTTGCAGGAAAATGAAAAAGAAGAAAATGAAAGTTCGGCATCAGAAGAGATAAAAAGGAGAAATAGGAAAAATTTAAGCGTAAATAGAAGGTCACTGGAAGGTGATTCAGGTACGTGTGTGCTTGCGTGCGTGCGTGTGTTTGTGAATACAACAATGAAACCTCGAGGGTACGATGATTTTTTTTCTATTCGCAGAAAGTGAAAGCCGAAGTGGAATATTAGACACGTTGCCGGAGGAAAGAATTTCTAAGTCGAACGAACCATCACCGATGGAATACAAAAGAGTTTATCCGGATTGGAAGCCTGCCATTGACCAAACGGATGTTGTCGGAGTTATGGAAGCCATAGAAGGTAACGTTCACATATTCTATGAATCAATGCGTGAAGTGTCGTAAAAATACTTAAAAGGTATATACGTGTGTGCATATGCCGTTAATTGAATTGTCACTTTCAGAAGCCCAACCTCAAATCCCGGTCAAAGACAAATCCATCTGGAGAAAATCAAATTTAAATCTTCCAAATGCGGCCGATGAAGCAGAACAAGACGCGAGAAAATTAAGGAGGCAACGTAGCAGAGGAAACATGGAACAAATAAACGCAAGCAATTTGATGTACATAAAAGAAGAAGAAAAGCGAAAAGGTTTGATAAGCGCTTTGTCTCAGGTTCCAATACAAGATAGGTTAACGTTATACCTGAGGAGACCTTCGGAAGATAAAAATTTCTACAGGAGCGGAAGTTTGAGAGCACCCAAAAAAATCGACGTCGTCTCTAATTCAGGTAGCATACCGAGCAGTCCGATAATGACCCGATCGTCGTTGTTACGAAAATACCGTTACGGTTCGAACGTGTCAGAAGACGCAAACGACGATCGCACACTTCCACCCTACGTACCCCGACGCATTCAAAAAACGAAAGACGAAGATGACGTCATCAGCGATAAAATTGAAATAGATTCGGATAATATAGAAACGCCACCGGCGACGAGGAGAAAATTTGGTAAGATGAGAGAATTTTCATCTTCTCTCGAAGACGAACCCAGGAGACTCGAACCCATCGAAACTTCGCAAGAATTCGAATCTCCACCGGAAGAAGGAGACAGAGTGAGTCCCGAGGGTAGATCGGATAAGGAAATGATGAACGAAAGAGGATCGCTCCTCCGAAACAGCCAAAGACTTCGAGATATCGCGAGAAGAAACGAAGAAGAAGAAGTTCTCGGCGACGGTCAATTCGATAGATTTTCATCCACGCGGAGAACGAGGAGATACAAGAAAAGCGTCGATTCCGGTCCGGACGTTACGGAAAAAGAAAACGACGAGAATAATTCTACCCTAGCGGGAGACCAAATGTCGAGACCTTCTCCGACTCAACCAACTCCTCAAGAGTTGACTTCGAGCACGACGGTACACGTAGACGACAAAGAAGCTCGATTGAAAAAATGGCAGAATCGTTTGAAATACCACGGGACGGCTGTTCAAAACGAAGACACTCGTCTCGCTCAAGAGGCCATAACGGATATAAACAAATTCGGTTCGGAATTGAAAAACATTGATCAAATGAATCAGGGGAATCCGAAGAAATCCGAACAGTCTTATAAGGGTGGTAATAATTTAAACGATGGTAAAAGACTTCAAAGAGGGCAAAGCTTACAAGAGTCCAGACGAGGTTCGATGGGTAGAAGTAATAATAATAATGATAATAACGATACCAAAGCAGATATAAAATCAACAAACAATCAAATAGACGAAATTTATTTGAACAATGATAAAAGCGATTTCATACCTGAAATCAGAGTTCAAGCCAACACTCCGGCATGTTTGAAAACAAAACCTGAACAACACGAGCTCAACGACGAAGGATTCGAAGAAACTCAAAGTTTAGGTTCGGAAACTCCGAGTCAAGGCACATCTTCCGGATGTAATTACGAACAGGATTCGGTGGATTCGCACGGATTGATTCGGGATAATAATAATAAAAAGAGAAGCGGAAAACTCAACAGAGCCGACAGCAGCGGAAGCGGCGATACAAACACGAGCAGCAGCACGAATCCCCCCGTGAAAAAATTCATAAGAAATTCAAATGCTACGAGATCTCTCATGACTCCTACGAGGGTCGGAACTCTTATGCAAAAATTACACAGGTCGGACCTGAGATCGAACAACAGGTTGGATAGAAGCAATTCTCTTAAGGTTAGTCAAAAACAAGGGGGAGCAGAAGAAAGGAAAATTTTGTTGAGCAAGTATTCGAATTTGAGGAAAACGGATTCGCAATCGAGTTTGAGCGGAAACAAAGGGAACGGACAAATAAATAAAAGACGAGGAGTCGAACGTTCGAATTCCCGTACGAGTCTGAGAAGTTCGAGAAGTTCCCTAAACAGTTCGACATCCGTTAACACCGTCAGAAACGTGTCATCGAAATCTTCCGGTAGCGTTCAAAGCGTACCTCCTAACGAAAAATCAACGACGACGACGACGAGACGTTTGGCTGGTTACACGACGGCCATAAAAAATTTAACGAATAATTTGAAGAAAGAATCGGCGGATAAGCAAAATTTCGGTTATAAAAAATCTTCGGGTTCCCAACCTTCGTCAGAGGATCGTAAAAAACCGTTGGGACAAGTTCAACTCAGGAATTCAATCGAAAAGATAAAAACAAACGTTCCGGCTAGCAGGAGTAGCAGTAGCGGTAGCAGCATAGGTCCGACAGCAAGACGACCGAAATCATCGACTCTAAACACGAGTTTTAAAGAAAATCAATCGATTAAAGAGTCTAAGGGTGGAATTGGGAGTGGTGGTAATGGTGGCAGCACCGGAGGAGGTGGACCACAGAGCAGAAGCAGCAGCACCGGAAGTATAACGTCAGAATTAAAACCGAAAATGACAAAATTAACGACGGGTTTATCTTCTTCTTCGAAACAAAAGGAAAACAACAACTACGGAAACACGGGAATAAAAATTCCGAGAACGACAGGAATAGGAGGAGGTTTAAATTTTATGAAACCTACAGCAGCGAGTTCGGCAAAAGAACCGGAAATTGTTATTAATAAATTTAGACCAATGGGAAAAGCTACAATTAAATGAATGAACAAACAACAAACAAACGAGGGAACAAACGAACCTATACAAAAAAAATTATGTACATTGTAAATAATATTATTATCCGTTCGATTATTAAAAAAAAAAAAATTATTTATATTAACATAATGATGATGAAATTTTATTATTAACTAAGTTTAATTATTATTATTATTATTATTATTGATCGGAAAATTTTTTTTTATCTCCCGTGAAATGCGAAGAAGTGTTTAAGTATAAAAAAAAAACATCAGGGCCGTAATAAGAATTTTTTTTTTGTTTTTCCCTTCCCTTTATTTTAATAAGTATTATTATTCATTTATCATCATCATCATCATCATTATTATTATTTCATTGACGATCTAGTCGAATGAGAAAGAATAAAAACGTAATATTATAATATTAATAATAATAATAATAATAGTAATAGTAATAATAATAATAATAATAATAATTGTTACTAACAATTTTATTTTTTAATTAAATAAATATTGAATATCGAAATAATAATAATAATAAAAAAAAGGAATTTTTTTTTTCGACGCCGCCATCTTGAAAACTTTCCTTTTCTCTCCCCCCCGTCCCACCCCGCCCCGCCGCAGAAGAAAAAGGGAAATAAAGTCGGGAGTTTTGGAGTTCCTGGAAATGGGAGTTCGATTTCGACTTGTCCAAAACAAGAAGAGACCTGAACCTAAATAAGAGGATAAGTGATCTAGAACCCTTTCGAGGCATTGGCATTTCCGTTTTTTTTTTTTTTCAAATTTATAATGATGATAATAATAATAATAATAAGTCAACGGCCATACCGTGCTGGTCACACCGGTTCCCGTACGATCACCGAAGTTAAGCAGCATTGGGCGTGGTGCAAACTTGGATGGGTGACCGTTTGAGAACGCCACGTGCCGTTGGCTTAAAAAGAGCAAAAAAAAAAAAAAAGAGAACAAGACAAAGTAAGAACCAAAAACAAATCTTGTTCTACTGTCGACCTGAGGCAGCTCGACAAGAATGTGAATTTCACTGCTTCTGACCCTGGCCACTCCAAAGATGTTAGTCACTGGAGCCCAGTTCAGGAGACAAATCGTTCCCATCGAATAAAGATGGACTTAGGAAGACCTTCAAGAATTGATGTGGTGCTATCTTATAATAAGTGGCACCACCGAAATTCGAGTATTTGTCCCTAAGGAATCGGGTAGAAACCTCGGATAAATACTTAAAAACCCCGACAAGTAGCCTTGTCGTGTTTAATGGTGGATAATAATAATAAAATAAAAATAAAATTCGAGTATTTGTCCCTAAGGAATCGGGTAGAAACCTCGGATAAATACTTAAAAACCCCGACAAGTAGCCTTGTCGTGTTTAATGGTGGACAATAATAATAATAATAATAATATAGTAATATATGTATTAATTATCTCAAATATATTATTTAAAAAAAAAATAAAATTTGTTTTTTTTTTCCATCATGCATGTTTGGTTATATCATTCATTTATTCCCATAAAAAAAAAACTTAAAAGAAATTTTTAAACAAATTGGGTTATGCAACCGGCAATACGCTAAACCCGACAAATTGCATAACTCAAAAAAGTAAGGCGGGCGGAAAAAATCGAAAAAATTCAAAAATCCTTAAAAATTGTGGTTATGCAACTGGCAATACGCGAAAACATGACAAATTGCATAATTCAAAAAAGTAAGGCGGACGAAAAAAAATCAAGAAAAATGAGTGAAAAATTGGTTCCGAGTATCAGTAAAACATAATATTTAGGAGGTCTCAATTTTTCGATAGTTTCGTTTCGCTTCAACGCCTTGCATTTAAAGTATATGCAATTTTTAATACAATTTTTAACCAATGGCGTGCTTTGTAAACATAATGAGAAATGGCCGTGATTGGTCAGAAAAATAATCCCATATTTTTCATGTTTAACTTATGTATTAAAAGGAATAAAATTTAAATTATAAAATAACTATACTTTAAAGCAAAATTATTTTTTGTAAATATTTAATAAGACTAAAATTATATATATTGTTGTGATCACTTGAACAAATGTTCATAATTTTATTTTATTTATAAATAATAACATTAGAACTATGGTTACCAAGTGTGTATTATGAAAAAGAAGCTTCTAGAAACTTATTCTTCTGTTTGTTCACAAACATAGTTATTCGTTTCATAGAAACATAATAATAACAATGAGTTCCACATATAAAAGGAAGCAAGACACAACAGGAGAAGTTCTTCTGATTCCCTAATGTCCTGTGAACGTTACATCTTCCAAATTTCTATATTTCAGCCTTTTGTCTGCTTCTTTGGCTGTCTGGTGTTTTTCTCCTCTTCGGTTCTTCGAATACTTCAATTAACTTACACCATTTTTCCGCATTATGTCTGAGAATGATATCCGGTTTGTTAGCTGGCACACTTTTGCCAGTGTGGATTTGTTGATCATACAGAACCGAACATGAACCTGCTGTCGTAATTGGGCTTGGAATGTGGTTGTACCACTCCTTGGGTAATCCATCCATTCCATCTCCAATGGAGATATTGACATAATTTCTTCTGAGATTGGGCTTTGCTATCATAAGTTGAAAGTTGCCCTTCTTCCATTATCTCGTTTTCTTTATTTTCTTGGACGATTTGTTTTGCCCTTTTCAGTACTCCTTTTTTTGTAATTTTTATTGTAATATATGTATAACTTGGGCTAAGATAGGGTCCTCTTGATGTGATTCTATGTATTTTCCCTTTTCCAATTATGGCACTCTGGTATGCGCTTCTATTTGTCGTAATCCTCTTCCTCCATCTTTTCTGCTGACGTATAATCTACCTACATCAGCTTTTGGATGTAACGCACCATTACCATTCATAGTTAATATTTTCCTTTTTCTTCGGTCCAGGTGCATGATTTCTCCTTTTGTCCATTCAACAAGGCCAAAACTATATTCTATTACAGGAACTGCTAATGTGCCAAAGGTGTTATGGTAACTTATTTCTTCCATTCGGTTCCTACTGTAATATAAGCCTCAATCTTTTAAAATATTCTTTCTTCAATCGAGGTTTAATTTCCTTGTTGGCTATCCCAAAATTTTCTTCAATCCCCAGATATTTGTATGTTGATCCAGGGTCCAATTCTTTTATAAGTTCTTCTTCGGAGTCTTCTATATTTTCCTTTCATTTTAACTTTCCTCCGACAATATTAACTTTTGCACATTTTTCCAAACCAAATTTCATGTTGATATCAGAGGAAAAAGTTTGAACTGTCCTTAACATTTTCTTCAATTCTTCTTCGCTCTTCACATATATCTCTTCAGGTCATCCATGTACAACATATGGGTGATTTTCCTGCCACCCGGTACAAACTCATATCCTTGATCCTTGATATTAAGCTGTCTGGACAGAGGGATTAGAGACATGCAGAATAATAATAATAATTATTATTATTATTATTATTGACACAAAAAATAATATTTTTAATTGCTATAAATTTTATAGATTCTAATAAAAAGAAAAAAAATTATTATTATTATTATTTAACGTTTGAAATTTTTTTTTGTTAACCCAAGAGAAATGCAGCATTTCGCACTAACCTCTCCCCACCCGGTAGCAGGAAGAGTGTTGGGAAACTCAGATGAAGTCACTACCCAACTAAAACTCCTAGATGTGCTTTGCTGCACTTTTTCCTGGGGAGTAGGGGCAGTCGCAGGAGTATGACTCCCATTTCAACCTCAACCTCAACCCTTCTCTCACAGCCGAAATCATCAGATCTCGCATGGGCTGTTGCAGAGATTCACTCCACCCAATTGGGATACTCCCCTCAACCATGTGGGAGGCATTCCAGAGGTATCACTTTCAGCCCTGCCTCTCATAATTACACATGTACATATACATACATAATTTAATACAGTATTCATGTTAGAGTGAATTCATATTCAGATAAATGAGAAACATTTGATCTTTCTGCGACTATCCTACGATAATCCCAACAGTGAAAATTTCTTTCGTCTAATTGATGATATTTTGTGCAAAGGTTTAATTCTTCGTTCCAATCAGGTTTGGGTAAATTGTCCAATATTCATATTCTATGATGCCAACTATCATACGATTTTGGACTCTCTAACCTATATCTAACCTATGCTTAACTATCTGGATTTTACTCTCAGGCACTGTTCTGTCAATTGCAAATCTTTTTCCAATAGTTTTTGATAACTCTCCAAGTCCTCGTCGTTTATCAACGACAAAAATATTTCTCTTCTATAATTCCATAATGTTATTATATCCGGATTTCCTGTTAATAAATTACCGGTGAGATTTAAACCCTCTTCGTCGTGTATTTGTGAAGAGCGTTTTTCTAATATTTGATTCATTATTTTTTTAAATTCTATTGCCTTTTTCTGTTTCTCTTGCCTTTTTCTATTTCTTTTGCCTTGCGATTTCTTTTTGTTCTTCTGTCGTTCTTATTTTGACTCTCCCGTGCATTTTGTAATTTCATTAAAAACAAATTTTACGATTTTTATTTGAAATTAGTACGGGAAAAATAACTCACAATGGGATATAGTAAAAATAGTAATAATATGTAAACAACCATAGACATCAATTTAAACTTAATTATATCGATGGTAAATAAAGTGTCATTAGAAAAATGTATTTCACTTTAACGTGGAACTTATAAAAATATGGAAGCTTTTAACGTAGCCAATACATGAATATTTTCGTTAAATAATTCGTTTTATGTAAATTATTGGGTTGGCCAGTAAGTAACTGGGCATTTTACCAACAGGTAGTTTGTCCATTTTTTTGAGTACGTTTACGTTTATGTACAAACATGAACTTTTGGTATATTATTACTTGGTTCCTTCTGTAACACATTCAGTACCAAAATTTCAATGAACTCTTAAATAGTGCGCGAGCAAAAGACATTCAAACATGGGGAGCCAAAGCGAGCATTTCCTCCACATTTTGCTTTTTTATTTCTGAAAGGGTGTTAATGCTTCACAAGCCAATAAAAAGTTGTGGGCCGTGTAGGGTGATGAAGTCTTAATAGAACGACAGTGTCAAAAGTGGTTTGCAAAATTCCGTTCTGGAGATTTTCCTTTGAAAAATGAGGAGTGCTCCGGGGTTCCATTGGAGGTTAATGATGAGCAAATAAAGGCCCTCATTGATTATGATCGGCATAGTTCGACTAAGGACATTGTAAAGAAGCTAGATGAGTCACATACGTGCGTCAAAAACCGTCTGCGGCGTCTTGGGTACCAAAAGAAGCTTGATGGGTCTTTGCAATGTGCTTGTTAAACGCAAAGCGAATGACCCTTTTTTGAAAGAATGGTCATCGGAGATGAAAAGTGGGTTGTTTATGATGACTTTTTGAGAAAAAGATCCTGGTCTAGGCAAGGAAACAGGCACCTTAGAACTTCTAAGGCTGACATTCACCAAAAAAGTTATTGTTATCATTTTGGTCGGATTACAAAGGCATAGTCGACTTTGAGCTGCTGCCACAAATTCAGAGGTTTACATTCGACAATTGACAAATTTAAATGATAGCATCCAAGAAAAACGATCGGAGCTAGCCAATAGCAAAGAAATTGTCTTTCACCATGATAATGCCAGGCCCTCCCCATCTTTAGCCACTGGACAAAAACTACTGGAGCTAGGCTGGGATGTTTTGCTGCACCCTTCATATAGTCCCAAACTAGCTCCAAATAATTATCATTTTTTCTGATCCCTAAAAAATTTTTTGATTGGACAAAAATTCCAAAACGACAATGAGGTCAATCATACTGCATTGGACCAGTTTTTTGCTCCTAAAACTAAAGAGTTTTATGAAAAAAGGAAAATGATTATTTGGCGCCATTTATTATTTCCATGATGTTTGGACTTAGATCAGGAGAAAATGATGATATTATAATGTGGCAAGGTTTACCCTATGGTTTACTATGGTATGATTTCATATTGGCCGCATTTCAAGTACATTTTTTTTGCCATATATTTTGCATGGAATTTAAGAAATGCTTGGAAAACAAGAGGATCCCATAAGAAATCCGGTAATTTTAATATTTTAGGACCTGGAAGTATCGTTTAACCTCAACACGGATCTCTTCCTCCCACGACCTCCGTGCGAGCTGGAACGACGACGGCCGTACCCCAGCCCGGTCAAACGCCGGCCAAACAAAATCGAGTCACTGCAATACCTAAACCCATGGGATTAGATCCTCTCACAATTCTTCAAGAAAGAAAAAACAGGTAAAATTGGCTTCTTTTACCTTATTGGAATTTTTATCACGTGACATTTCGTGACGATTAACATTTTGCTTTGCATCAACTTTGTAGGAAAGCAGCTCGGATCGCAATGAGAATCGACGTACATAACAATTTACCAACTTTGATGGCTGAAGATTTAAAACTTCGAACTTCGAAATCGAGTTGAGATCATTGAGACTTTTAAATTTTCAAAGGCAGTTAAAAAGCGAAGTTAGTAAAATTATTTTTCATTAAATTTAAACAAATTTTCTTGTAAATTTCTTTTTAATTTATAGCTTGTCTTTTAGGTTATAGCTTGTACGCGTCGCTATACCACGTTAGAAACTGCCGACAATGTAAAAGCGTACAAACGAACCAAACATCAAGGTTTGAGAGAAGCAAGAGCAACTGAAAAACTTGAGAAACAGCAAAAATTGTAAGCGGAAAGAAAGGTAATCAATCATTGACCTAATGACCTCTCCCCCCCCCTCTCTCTCTCGTGTTTAACTTTTTTGTTGGTTTTAATTTTAGCCATGGAAGGAAATTCTCAGCGAACCTTTCATGAAATTACCTTCTAAAAATAAATTACCGGATTATTACGACATGATAAAAAAACCTTTGGATATAAAGAAAATATTTAACAGGATAGAAGATGGAAAGTATCAGACAGCGAAACAAGATGATGTCTACCTTTTGGAGAGGAGAGGAGAGGTGACAAAAACGTTTCTGTTATATTTTCAAATAATTTAAATAATGGCTACGATTTCGTTTTGAAAAAAATTACGAAAAAGCGAGAAGGCAAGAAGAGGAAGGGAGGGGGAGGGAAAGGCGAGAAAGAGAAATAATTAGAAAAAATCAGGTTCGGTTGTTTGTCGTCATAGAAGGAACCTCGTTTTAAACCTGTAATTAAATTTTGAGTGATGATTGAACGTTTGATTTATATTTGGCCACGTTTATATTATATACATATATAAGTATAAAATATATGTATGTATATTTTTCTTAATCGAGCCACATAAACTACTAAATTTGCCACAAACGATTATTAAGTTTTCCGTTTTTTTTTCAAATTTATAATGATGATAATAATAATAATAATAATAATATAGTAATATATGTATTAATTATCTCAAATATATTATTTAAAAAAAAAATAAAATTTGTTTTTTTTTTCCATCATGCATGTTTGGTTATATCATTCATTTATTCCCATAAAAGAAAAACTTAAAAGAACAGAATTTTTATACAAATTGGGTTATGCAACTGGCAATACGCGAAACCCGACAAATTGCATAACTCAAAAAAGTAAGGCGAACGGAAAAAATCGAAAAAATTCAAAAATCCTTAAAAATTTTGGTTATGCAATTTGCAATACGCGATAACACGACAAATTGCATAATTCAAAAAAGTAAGGCGGACGAAAAAAAATCAAGAAAAATGAGTGAAAAATTGGTTCCGAGTATCAGTAAAACATAATATTCAGGAGGTCTCAATTTTTCGATAGTTTCGTTTCGCTTCAACGCCTTGCATTTAGAGTATATGCAATTTTCAATACAATTTTTAACCAATGGCGTGCTTTGTATACATAATGAGAAATTAATGGCGCTCGCCATTCTTACTCGTGATTGGTCAGAAAAAAAAATCACATATTTTTCATGTTTAACTTATGTATTAATAGGAATAAAGTTTAAATTATGAAATAACTATATTTTAAAGCAAAATTTTGTATATGTATGTATTTAATATGACCAAGGATGGAGAAACGAATTTAAAATAAAAAAAAATAATAATAATAAGGATAATAAATAAATTTTATTTAATTTTTATTTATTTATTTATTATTATTATTATGTAAAAATATTTATTCGTGGCCGTATTATAAAAGCAATATATATATATATATATTTCTTTTCCGTTTTTTTTTTTTTATTAAAAATATATTACTTACGTTTTATTAATTTTTTTCGTATGTATTTACTACTCCCCTGCCTCCCTTTTCCTCATTTTTTTTTTGTGATAATAACCGCCGAAAGCGAAACATAAAAAATAAAATAGAAAAACTTTTGGATTCCGCGCGCGACGAAATTCGGTGCGTTTTGGCGTTCGATCCGTGACAACCTAACGAAAAAATTTACAAATTTATGTATATAAATACGGACACGTTCACGTTTTTTCCCGACCTTTTTCTCTTTTTCATGCTCTATTTAACGATTTTCCCCCAATTCTTCGTCTTTCATTTGTATTTTATTGCCGAAAAGCGGTAAAAGCGTTCGTTCGGTCAGTGGCGATGGCACTTTTCCGATAATAAGAAAATTATTTCTAGAAATTTCTGACTAGATGGTGATTATGATTACGATGCTCTTTTCTTTTTAAAATTACTTTCAAGTTCTGGAAATACGATGACGGTGAGTACAACAGCCCGAGAATTTGGTGCGGCGATGATGATGATAATAATAATATTTACAAATTTAAGAGAGCTCACGTGAGGAGAGAGAAAGAGAGAGAGAGAGAAAACATTATTTCATATTCGCGAAATGCTAACGTTCGGTGTTTTACGGTGGTTTCAAGTGGGGGGTAAAGCCCACAGAGTGCACGTCTTGTCGGCGTTCGTACTCAAAAATGAAAATTCTGTCGGATGCCATCTTCCGGAAATAACTTTATCTTGGTGATAAAGCCCTTCCCAGCGACAACGACGACGCTGGGAAGCGGCAACGTCAAATCTCCTGGAAACAAAAACAAACCGATTAATGACGTCATCATTCATCATTATTGTCACGACGTTAACAGTAATAATAATAATAAAAAAAACCTTGTAAATCCGTCAAGACGAGTTTGTTGTCGTATCCTCTGGTCAGTAGGTAATAAGCGCTCGGTGAAAACCTTATTGATCTTATGTCTGACGAATGAGGTTTGACACATTGAACGTTTCTATCCTCGCGAATGTCGTACAAAACGCACGAGGAATCTTCGTGTCCAGATACCAGGAGTCAACCGGATGGATCGACGCAAACGGCAGCAACATGTGAGACCTGTAATCGTAGTAAAATTTAATCTCCTGAGATGTCGAAAAAACGGAAATGACGTGAGACGAAATAAACAATGTTTTTCATGTTTAAATATGTTTATTAATATTAATATTATTATTATTATTATTACATATTACTATTATTATTAATAATGATATGATTTATAAATTAATAAAAACGGTAACGTTTCACTTTTATTTTTATCATCAGTCATCATCATCATCATCATTATTGTTAAAAAAAACAAAAAAATAATAATAATGAAAATTGTTCATGTGTTTCCGAACGTACGAACGAACGAACGAACAAACACGTGCTGCGAACGTTTTTCCCGCCATTTTTAAAATTTTTCCGGGTTGTTCACTCGAAAACTTTTAAACTTCTCGATAGTGACGTAAGCATATCGTTTAAATAATCGGATTGTTTGTGATTTTTATTCCTTTGTAATTCTCTATATGCTGTTGCCACGTCGTGAACTCTTAATATAATGTTTCTCGTATGAACGGGTGAACTCGTGTGCGCGCACATTTCCGTACACCTTTCGCAAAGTTTTTTAACGTTATCTAAAAATTTTCTAGATTCCGTTTCCGTTTCCGGTGACGGTGACGGCAGCGACGAGGACGACGACGACGACGAGGATAAGAAATTTTTAATAAGGCTTTTTGAAATTGACAATAATTCTTGAGTCGTTTCCGCAGCTGAATTTTTTGCCACCTTAAACAAAAAACAAAAAAACGTTTCAAACATTATTTACGGTTCACGATACTCATCCTTAACCCGGTCCTGATACTGAAAAAGGAAAAAAAAAAATTACCTGAAATTTTTCTTCGTTTATGTGGTGTCCTCCTCCTTGTCCCTGAGCTCGATCGCATTCGGCAGCGAGTTGATCCAAACGTACAAGAAGAATTCCCAATGCGTCGTCATTTTTATCCCTTATTTCCCTTGAATCGATTTGGTGGGGGTGAGGGTGGTGGTGTTGGCATTCCCTTTCAGACCTACCTGAACATTTATAACCTTTTTCCTTTGATGAATACATCAGCCATCGGAAAAAAAAAGAAATTAATAAATAAAAACTCGGGGGAGGGAGGGAAATAAACGTAACCGGAAATAATAAAAAAAAAATACTTACCCCGGGATGAATAATTCCAAAATTGTTTTGCTGTTGCTGTTGAAATCCCCGATGTGACGGTGGATGTTGAGGATGTTGATGATGATGATGCTGTTGAGTGAAATCATCGCGACACGTTCTGTACATGACTAGACCGTTTCTTGGTAAATAATTAACAGGAGGAGAAGAATCACGGGTCGGAGGAGTTCCAAACGTCACGTTTCTACTACCGGAAATACCTTTTGTTATTAAAGTCCCTGATTTATTATTGTAAGTATCATTATTATGATCGATTTCGTAAAATTTTGTCTTTGGCAATGTACCGTACGTAGATGATGCCGACGGTGATTTTCCGACACCACAACCACTCAGACCATCTTGATGGTGTGTCGGATATCGTGCCAAGGATTTGGGTAAGGAATCGTATTGGGAAGACGCGATCGTCGTCGCATTGCCAAAACTACCACAATTACATATATCACCGTCACTGACGTCACCGCCACCGCCCGAACCGCCACCGACCCCAAGCAAGCTTAATTTCAACGGACCATCTTTACGTGGCCATTCACTCACTTGAATTAATTTTTGACATTTCGGAGGCAAATCCGAAGTGTTGGCGTTGATGGTGTTGTTGGTGTTGTTGTTGTTGCAAAGCAACTGACGTCTATCTTTTTGAATCAAACCACTTCGATCACCGCAAAACGACGACGACGACGACGAATCTTTCCAACCCAATTTGGGTGAAAATGATGACGTAACGTGACCGTTTTGCTTCGACGACGTTTCGTTTTCAAGGCCGTTCCTTTTCATTAAAGGCTGTTGAAAGGCTTCTCGTGTTTTAGTCTCATCGACGACCTGAAAAAAAATCATCATAATCATCATCATCAGAATAATTATTTATCGTCAAAGCAGACGATTTTTTTTCTTTTTTTTTATCAGACTTACATTTTTTGTATTATTATCTAAACTAATAGTGGAAAAAGAAGAAGTCGAGGGTGCGGCGGTTTTCGGCGGAGGCGGAATTATGTAAGAAAGAATTTCTTCCGTTGTTATCTTATGAGCGTGATCGGGTGGCGCGACGGCGACCGTCGCTAAAAATGCTTCCAAATCATCGTCGACTTGGCTCTCGGGTACCATCGATTCTTGTTCTTCTTCTCCCCAATATATGGATGGTTCGACTTTGTTGTTGTCACCATCGGCGAAAGGCGTGGGAGGAAAACTCGGTTGAATCGGCAACGGATTCACTCCATCCTGAAACGTTTCCGGGTAAATTTTTTGCTATTGAACAGAAAGAAGGGGGTGGAGAGAAGGGAGGGAAGGACCACATTCGGTTTAACGAAGAACAAACTTACATCAGGTGTCGGCGGTGGAGGTATGTTCGTCAAATCAATTATATCCGGATCGAAATAGAAAGTTCCATTTTCGGATTCGAAATCGAATTCCTTATCGTCTTTTAACCTTTGGAGATAAGCCTGGAAAACAAAAACGAAAAAACTCGTTCGTTACAAATTCGATAGAACAAACAACAAACAAAACGAAAAAAACCGGATATACTTGAAATTCGCACGACGTTGACGTGATACCATCCGGACTGTGAAGACCGAAACTTTGAGTGCTGTGACGATTCTTATCGGACATTCTCGCTTTCGATTGTGAAGGACTTCCGGCTGGAGTGCTCGCAGAATCCGTATCACTTTCTGAAGGTTCGACATCGTCGATATCCAAACTTTTTACGACGTCTTCCAGTTCATTAACCGAATTCGATACCTGGGCAACCACCAATCGAATAAAAATTACGAACTTTTAAAACAAACCGGAAATGAAAAAAAAATTCTTGTTACTTGTGTGAGAAGCAAAAGCGAATCGCTGTGTTTCAATTCTCCAGGTGCTGGAATTTCAGATTCGCCAGACGATATGTGACTCTCTTCAGAATCTTCTTCTTCGTGAAGTTTCGTTATCCTTCCCAACGATTGTTGATGCTGATGCTGATGATGATGATTCGTTTCCGTTTGTTCCGTCAGGTATTGTTCGGAAGTCAAAACAAGAGCCTGCATTTCTGCAACTCGTTTCAACACCTGAAAGGACAACAACAACAAAAATTTTTTTTTTAACCGAACAACAAACCGGAAATACATTTTTGTTTTGTCAAACCAACTTCGTCATTTTTAGCATCTAACGAATTTAAACTTCCGTTTTGTAATCCGCCATTTTGATAATTTTTTTTACCATCTGGAACGGGACTCGATTTTATATTCCTAAAAAAAAAACAATAAAAAAATTTTTTATTTTTTCGTGGAATTAGAAAAGAAAAATTTCAATTTTTTAACTCTTACATGTTGCTATCAACTCCGCATTTTTCACCCAAAGATGGCGGTAACGAGGACGATGATTGTTGGGATGTCGTTCCAGACGATGTTTTCATACCAACGTGTCCGTTCATTCTTCCCTATAAAGCAAAAAAAAAAATTCGTTTAAATAATGATAATAATAGTAATAATAATAATAATAATAAAAAGATGATTTACGTTGATCGTATCCGTCGAAGGTTGGTAATATGGAATCATTGAAAAATTAACGACTCGCGTCCTGGATTCGCGGGAATTCAAATAACTCCAACTCGCTGGACAAACTTCGTGTGGTGACATGTACAAGGGTGCGCAATCTTCCGGCCACGGATCACGTTCTTCGTCCACGTCAACATTTTCTCCGGTAAACAAATGATAATACCTTAAAGTAGAAAAACAACAATAGAACAGAGAGCCGAATTTTCTTTAAAACAAAAAAAATTCCAGAATATTCCAGACGTACCCTTTCAATATCAAAACCAATTCATCCGCATCCCGATCTTCCAGACTAAATATCAATTCTCTATTATTTATCAAAAATATTCTTATCAATCTGGAAAGTTCATCTTCTCTTCTCACAACTATCCCTCTCACATCTTCCACGTTTGCTAATGCTACTGGCTGGAATGATGACAGACAATGAAAAACGTTGGATAATGGGGGGGAGGGGGAGGAAACAATGTTGACAAAACTTACCACGCTATTTCTTATTCCTAATATTTGACTAATACCAAATTTTGGACTGACTAGTAAAACCGTTTCCATGTTGGCATCCCTGATGTTTGTTGAAAAACATTTTGCTCCGTAACTTGGTAACTCGCTCACTATGTTCAAATAATGTAATTTGGCTTGAAAACTCGTCAGACTTTTCTGACCGGGTAATATATTTTGATTTAGTTTTAAAAAATGAGCCAAAAGTTTTCGGAGTTCTTTTCTTTTCATCGTCGTGAGCAATGACACGGGTACAAACCTTTTAACAAAAAAAAGAATCACTTCAGACAACCGAACAAACAAACAAACAAACAAATTTGTCTCATTTTCTTACCTTTCCAGTCCGAATTCTCTCTCGACTCCTTTTATCGTTAATTTTCCCGCTAAATTATGAGCCAAAGCGTGTTGGTGTATGTGCAGTGCTGCCAATCGAAGAGCCAAATCGTATTTTAACTCAGGAGCGTATCTCTCTTGCACGACGTCGTTGCAACACTGCATGTACAAATATTCGAAAGCCACGAGATCTTTTTGTGCAAGTTCCGCGGCTTCCTTTGGCATGAACGTCACGCGAAACAAACACCTGAGATTGTGAGATCCGGGACGTGCGGCGACTCTCGCCACGGATTCTCTCGGATCCAACAAAGTCAATTTGTTTCGTCTGAGACTCTTGTAATGTTCTACGACGAGGGAAAAATGTTCCGATGACCAAATGCAAAGTTTTTGTAATAGTGATGTCACGACATCTTGAACCGTCGTCGTGGAATCGTACTTGAACGATTTCGTTTGCCCGTTTTCTAAATAAACTTTAAGAACGTTCGGAAGGACTGGAATGCAAGATTCTCCATTTGAAAACATCGACGGCTGGAAAAATTAAATTCATTAACAACAATAATAATAATAATAATGACACGTCATCCCGGAATGATTTTATTCCTCACCGGCGAGCCATTGACGACAACTCCTTCGGCAAATCTGACTCTCGATGGATTCGATTTTAATTTTGCTTTTTTTGCCGCGCTCAAAAGGGCCGATTTCCTCGTTGACTGCATAAAAAAAACACATTTTATTTTTTCAAATAATAATGATAATAATAATAATAATTGTAATAATAATAATGATAACAGTAGCGATTGATAAAGATTTAAAAAGAAAAAAAAAGAAACGTACGCAAATATTATTATTATTAGAGAATGATTAGTGACAAAAGTATTTTTATTACTATTTTTAATACTAATAAAATAATAATAATATTAATACAACCAATATAGTTATTATTATTATTATTATTATTATTATTTTATTATTATACATTATTATTATTATTTTGCTGATGACGATTAATAATCGAATCGGATTTTTTTTTTTTCGTTACGTCGTTTTTCCCCCTCGTTCCTCTCCGTCATTACCGCCATCATCATCACCGTCATCATCATCACCGTCATCATCATCACCATCATCATTATCACAATCGTTAATTTTCAAAAAGGTTTTAATAATAATAATAATAATAACGCAGTAGAGGAAGAGGAGGTAAAACGCGAAGTAGAGTAGTACGCGTAAACGAAAAAACCTTTTGAAAGTGTTGCCAACTTTTAAACAATAAAATATAAAATCGAATCGTTTCTAAATAAAATAAGTTACACTCGAATAAATAAAACGTGGATTTAGAAAATCCCCCTTTCCCCTCGTAGCCGATCGAAAGGGATTCTAACAAAATTTCAAAAAAAAAACTTTTCCTTTTTAAAATAAAGTTAATCAAAAAGGTACACAAAAACTGATTGGCACAACAAAACATTATTATTATTATTATTTTCCGATTCGAAAAGAATTAAATGATGGTGACATCACACAAAAAGAGAGAGAAAGAGATAAAACTATATTCGATGGAAAACAAGGAAAACTAAGTAAATAAACAGGAAAAGGTTTGCAAGTTTCGCAAATTGTAAAAGTTTAAACGTGAAATTAGAAAATGAGAGAAAATTTTTTATAAAAAAACAAATGAACGACACATAAATCATGTTTCAAATATGAAAGCGACAAGTTTCTATTTACTGGAGAAAAAAAGGAAGGAAAGAGAGAGAAAGAGATGGAGGGAATGGAAAAACTTATGAAACATAAACGTGGATTAAAAATGAATCCCGTTGAAAAAATAGCTGAAAGAAGATACATCACACGTTGATGTTTGGTTTCTTTAAAAAGGAAGAAGTGGAAAGAAGAAGAAGAAAAAGAAGAAGAGGAAGAAAGAGAAGAAGAAAAGAAGAAGATGAACAAAGAGAAGAAGATGAAAAATGTTCTACAAATATTGTAAGAAAACCATCGAACCCGATCGAAATTTAAATCCGAAAAAAACATTTTGGGAAAATTTCGGTCAAATATTTGAAATTGGATCTCCTCGGGCTCTCCCCCCTCCCCCAGAGGTTCCCCCACGGGCTCCCCCCCTTCGGACTTTCATCTCTCACTCGAAACTCGAATTTTGTATTAATCCAGGGAAAACATTTTGAAATAAACAAGGCGCCGCAAAAGATTTTTTTTTTTTGGAAAAACGACTAAGAAACCGGAAGAAAAGCTCAAAAATGAAATTTCCAGAATGTTCCAGGGATGTGACTAGCCAGGAATGTTTGGATTCTCAATCACCGGAAGTAAATTCAAAGGAAAAAAAACTAAACAGAAAGTCGAGTTTTACGGCAGAGCTCATCGGGTAGAATCCCTCAATCCCAAAAAAAAAAAATTCTGGAAAACTCTGTTGACTGCCAACTTTCCTCATCTCGATCAAATAATGATGATGATAATGATAATAATAATGATACTAATAATAATAATGATAGGTTTTACTAACGTTGTCCAATGGAGGTTGAGAAACGGTGAGACGAACAACGTCCTTGCATGCTCGTACTAATTTGATCACGTGATCTCTGGGCGCCTTTTTAACGTTTTCACCGTTGACGGATAATATTTGATCACCCGGAAGAAGAAGATCAACACTCGGTCCTCCTTCCGTCACAAACCTGAATCATTTCCGCATTGGAAGAAGAAAAAAAAAAAAGAAAGAAAAATTAACAAAAAGAAAAGAAAAATTTTTTTTTCTTAAAAAAAATTTTCATTAAATTAAAGAAAAAAAAAAAAAGTGTAAATAAATGTACCCCACACAAACCTGACGATGACGGGTTTTTCACTTCCGGCGACAAAACCGAAACCCATTTCCGGATGTCTCGTGAGTGTGACTTCCCTCGGAAGGGGAGGTTCTTCGCTCCAATCTTTTCTCGGATCTTCATATGTCGTCGTTTTATTTAAATGACTGGAAAAAATTTTTCATCATCATTATCATCATCGTCGTGATGTCAAGTTCAAGGTCATTTGACTCATTCAAATTTTGTCTTTTTTTTGCTGTTTGTTTGTTTGTTTGGAAAACATAATTATTTAAACAAACAAACAAGATGATTTTCTTCGATGGCTTTTCCGGCCATTTTCTTTTCTTTTGTTTTTTCATCATCCATTTTTTTTTTTTCATTTTTCATTTTTATAATAATAATAATAATAATTCGAAGAAAAGAGGGGGAAAAACAAACAAACAAACAAACAAAAACTAAAACAAAATCCGAGAGCAAAATTTTTCGGCGCTTATTAAATTTTCATTAGACGGTTTAAAAAAAAAAAATTTACGATCATATTCTTGCCCTTTTTGCCCCTTTTGCCACGCACGCACACGCACACGCACATTCTCATTCGACTCACTTTATCCAATTTATTTTTCCATTTCCCCCCCTCTCTCTCTCTCTCCTCGAACCCCGTTTTCCTTTCCTTCTTCTCAATTTATAAAGTTGAACCTTTTGAACTTTTCGGAAAACTTTCTAAAAAAAAAGATTTTTCTCTTCGTTATAAACTTTTCTTTTTTTCTTTCCATCAATCCCTCTTTCCCTACCCCCTTCCCTCCCCCCCGGTCGCGTGCACACAAAAACACGCACACACGCACTCACGCACGCGGGAATTCGTGCTGTTGTGGTCTGTCGTCGCCGGTTTTATTCGATCAATCTTTCCTTCCTTCATCCTCCCTTCCCCCCTCCTACCCCCCACCCAACGATTGAATCGAAGGAAATTATAATTATCGTAAAATTAAATAACTCACATTCATCAGGGGTACCAACACGCACACACGCAAATTTTTTAATTTTTTTTTTTTAAATCTGAAAGAGAAAAAAAAAAAAATTTTTAATTTAAAAATTATTAGCATCGTTAGTGCGTGTGAGTTTAAAAAGAAGAAAAACAAACAACAACAACAACAAACTCAAAACTCATGCAAGAAGTAAAAATGTCGTCGTTGTCGATACAACCGAAATAAAAATTCAAAACAACAACAGCAAAACAAACAAACGACAGCGACAAACTTAAAAAAAAAAAAACTTTTTGTTTTTAATTATCCAACTACCCGTCGTAATTTATTATTATTATTATTACTATTATCATTATCATTATTAAACTAACTAACTTAAAGTATAAAAACAATTTCCCCCTCCCCCGTCCGTTCCCGTTTGTTTTATTTAAAAAAAAAAAAAAAGTTTAAAATAAAATTAAAAAAAAAACTTTTCCCTTTTTTTTCCGAACGTGTATTTAGACAATTAAAACCAAAAAAAATAAAATAAAGTAAAGTAAAATAAACAAGTGGAAGGAGAAAAATCGTAGGAGGGGGAGAAAAAAAAATAAAAAAAATAGAAAAAACAAACAATTTTTTGTCTCGTTTGTTTGTTTTTTTTTTTTTTTATATATAAAAAAATCGAAAGGATAAAATAATAATAATGATAATAATAATAATAAAACGACGCCATTTTGAAGAAAAAAAAAATAAAAATAAAATAAATGAAAAATTAAATTTTTTTTTTTTTTAATCTACCGTAAATAATAACGAATAATATTAATAAAAATAATAATAATAATGGCGTCGCTCATCATCATCATCATCATCGTCATATTGTTACGTAATAGTTAGCAAACAAACGCAAAAAAAAAATCTTCAACGTAAGCGGTTAATGATAATAATAATAATTGTTTTTTGGTTGTCTTTTTTTTTTGATTTCTGGTTGTTGTACCTTGTTTTACGTCTGTGAAAGAAGTTTCGAGTACTCGAACGCTTTCCCTGAACGCCCTCAAACAAACCTGAACATAAAAACGCAACAAACGCACACATACTCATTAATATATTTTTTTAAAAATCGGATTTGAGACAATCATAATAATAATAATAATAATAATAATAAACAAAGCTAAATATTATTATTATTATTATTATTATTGTCAATAACCGGGGTAGTAAAAAAAAAAAACAAAACAAACGCGTGACAACAACAACAACGAAAATAAATAAACAAAACGCTTGTTTTTTAATTAAATAATTTTTATTTGTTGTTTGTTTGTTTGTTTGTTTGTTTGTTTTATTCTTTTAAACGTTTGTCAAAGTTCACGTAAATAGAGATTGAGAGGGAGGGAAAGAAAATAAAAAGAAAATTGAAGAAAGGTGAAAACTATAAAGAAAAAAGAAAAAAAGGCGTGAAAAACAACAAACACAACAAAACTTTTTTTTTTTTTTTCTTTTAAACAAAGTTTGTTCATATATATATATATAAATAAAAAAAGTAACACGAGAGTCAATGTATGGGTAACGAAAAAAAAAAAAAAAAAAAACAATGGAAATAAAAGCCGACGAAAATAAATAAAACCAACCAAAAAAAAAAAAAAAAAAAAAAAAACCAAATAACCATTTTTTGTTGTTGTTTTTTTTTTTTTTTTAAAAAGTTTTTCCTTTTTTTTTTTTTTTTTTTTTTTTTTTATAAATTAGAAAATACAATAATGGGATAATACACGAGTCGTGGCAATAGACACGTTACACGAAAAACGAAAAAAAAACTGGGGTGAATAAAAAAAAAAAAAAACGTGAAAAAACTCTCGGAAAAAAAATACATAACAAAAAAACATAAACAAAAAGAAAGAGAGAGAGAGAAGGAGAGTGTCATAGACTGAGAGAAAAACAGAGAGAAAGAGAGAGAAAAAGAGAGTGTCATAGAGTAAGAGTTAAAGAGATAAAGAGAGAGAGAAAGAAAATTTTTTTCATTTTTAAAAATCGCATAGAAAAAAATAAAAAAACAAAATAAGGGAAAAATGTCGCCATTTTGTTTTTTTTTCTTTTTTTTTATTATTATTTAACCTCAACTTGTGCCGAGTGTTAAATTAACCTCCTTCCCTCCGACCTACCCCCCTTAAAAAAAAAAACTTTACATTACAACAAAAAAGGTCTTCTCCTCCTCTCCTCTTTTTTTTTTTTTTAAATAAACCGCCAATTTTTGTCGCCAATTTGTAAAAAAATTAAAAAATCGCGCGCACAACAATTCTCGCCCACGTTATCTTCGTTTTCCCCCCGGCGTTTATTCGTGCGTTTTCGTATTTTTTCGCGTGATGCCGTGTTGAGTGGCGACGGAGAAAAAAGAGAAGAGGAGGGAAAGGGGGGGAAGTGATAAAAATAAACAAAAATAAATAAATAATAATAATAGTATAAAATGATTGATTGATACTAACTTGATGTAATATGATTTTCCATCGTGATCAAATCCTTCTTCCCATCCGTATGGAAAATCTCCTGTCCAAGATTCGACCGGTGGAATCCAGGAAGTTGTTTGAGTTAAATAACTGGAAAAATAATTAATAATAATAATTAATAATAATAATAATAATAATAATAATAGTAATAATAATAATAATAATAATAAATAAAATTAACAAATAAACATTAACAAAAAAAAAAAAGTAATAATAGTAATAATTCTGGGATGTTTTTTTTTTTTTTTTTTGAATGGACTTGCGTCATTATCATTATTATTATTACAAGAAAAATTTTTTTCCTTTACTTTCCTGCTGTAGCTGTTGTTGTTGTTGTTTTGGTCGTTGTTTTGGTTGTTTTTGTTCGTTTTGAAAATTCAATTTACATTTTGTCCTTTTTCTGCCGTTGTAATGAATAAAATTTACTTCAAATAACATTTTTTTCTTTTTTTTATTAAAAACACGCACATCAACAACCACAACCACAACAACAACAACAACAACTACAAACGATTCAAAAAAACCGAAAAAAAAAAAAAAATTCAAATTAATGAGAAAAAGAAGAAAGAAAAAACATTTTTTCCGTTTCGTTTCGTTTCGTATTCGCATTCCGTTAAATGCGTAATTTTAAATAATAAAAATGAAAATCGATCGATATATCGATATAATTGTCGATTTATCGATGTTTAAATTAAAAATAATAATAATAATAATAATAATAATAATAATAATAATAAAAGGGAAAACGTTTTGAATTAAATCCAACATTTTTTTTTTTTTTTTAATTTTAAGGAAAGAAAAAAAAAAGAAAGATGTCTTTTCCGTTTTCGTCGTCGTCGTCGCCGTCGACTTCGTGAAATTAGATTAATTAAAACCACGAACGTGAAAAAAAAATAATGATAATAATAATAATATTTAATTAAATAAAATTTCTGGCAATTTTTTCTTCTACTAAAATTTATAATTATTATTTTTCGAAATGTTTTCAACTTTATTTTTCCTTTTTCTTTCCTTTTCTTTTTTTTCCTTTTTTCCTTTTTTTCTCTTTCGTCTTTTAGTGGCACAAAAAAAAATATGGCCGACCGACTTTTGTTTCCACGCTTTAAATTCTCTAATTTTTCCTCCCTACCTTCATTCTTTTATGTCATCGTTTGAAGAACAAGAAAGAACAAGAAAAAAAAGGAAGAAAAAAACTGCGCTTGGCAAAACAAAAAAAGGCACAAAAGAAATAAAAATATATGGAAGGAGGAAGGGGGCGGGCGCGCGCGCGGCAGCAACATCAACGCCTCGTGGAAATTGAATTTATTTATAATCCTTTAACAAAAGAATAAAAACTGATTGTGACAGGTATGACGCGGCGGAGGGAAGTGGCGGGGAGAGAAGTGGCAGGGAGGAGGCGGGGAAAAATAAAAAACAATTAAAGTGAAATTTGGCACTTGCCAAATAACAATAATAATAATAATAATAATAATAATAATATTAAATCAAGGGAGAAAATATTTTAAAAAAAAGAAAAAGGGAGAGAGAGAGGAAAGAAAAGAAATTTAAATCCTTTTATTATTTTTTCTGGAATAAAATAGAAATGTCGTTAAAATGATCGCGAGTGATGGTGACGGTGGTGGTGGCGGTGGCGGTGTCGATGAAGAAGAAAACAAAAAACAAAAAAAAAGATTAAACGCGCACACGCACACGCACACGAACACAAACACATCAAAACTGATTTGGCGAACATCCATTTAAATACATAAAAACAAAATGGCGGATTTCAAGAACGTTATTCTTCTTCTTTCTCCTTTTATTTAATAGAAAATCAATATTGGAAAACGTAAAAAAAAAATAAAAATAAAAAAAATAAAATAAAAAAATATTTTTTTCAAGTTATTTATTTTTTATTTTTTATTCATCATTCGAAAAAGTTGTAAAAAAAAAAAAAAAATTGCGAAAAATTTCTCTTCTACCCTCCCTCCCTCCTCTTTCTCCTCCCCCCTTCAAATTTATCAGCATCTTCCTTTTCCTTTCGTTTTATTTTTTATTTTTTATTCATCATTCGAAAAAGTTGTAAAAAAAAAAAAAAAATTGCGAAAAATTTCTCTTCTACCCTCCCTCCCTCCTCTTTCTCCTCCCCCCTTCAAATTTATCAGCATCTTCCTTTTCCTTTCGTTTTATTTTTTATTTTTTGTTTAAAAACAGTAAAAATGAGTAACGATCGATGAAAAATTTTATGATTCATCAATTATTTTCATTTAAAACAAAGGAGAAAAAGAAAAAAGTGCGACAAAATTCCCTTTAACATCCCCCCAAAAAAATGTATTTTTTCCCCCTCTGCCTGCAAAAGTGCGACAAAATTCCCTCTCACCACCCGTCCAAAAAAAATGAATTTTTTTCCTGCTTCCGCAATCGAGCGACAAAATTCCCTTCTTTTTTTATCATTTAACCTCCAGCAAACTCGCGACGACGGAATTTTGCATATTTTTTTTTTTTTTTATTTCATCGAACGAACGGCAAATTTCCCAGTTGAACAAACAAACAACCAAGCAACCAACCAAATAACAAAATTTCCTTTTTCCTTTAACAGTCGAACAACAAAATTCTTTTATTTTCCCTTACAGCAAATATTTTTGAAAATTTTCTTTTACTTTTTGCTTTTTTCCTCCACATTGATTGAGCGCGACGACGCAAAAAAAATTTATTTTTATTTTTATTTATCAAACCGGCGACGAAATTCTCGTTTTTTTTTTTTAATTAAATCATCAATTTAAAATAAAATAGAATGATATTTACATTTTGATTGATAAAAAAAAATAATGGCGGAAACGAACAAACGAACAAATTTCATTTTTTTTTTAATTTTTCTCAAACACTCGAATCAGTCAGTCAGTCAGTCAATGACTCGAAGTAAAAAAAAAAAAAAGAAGCAAAATGATTATTTTCTTTCCTTTTCATTTCCTTTTCTTTTCCTTTTCTTTCCTTTTTTCCTTTTTTTTTTTTTATTAATTTCGAGAAGAAAAACGAATTTTTCATCTTATTTTCATCTTCTTTAAAAAATTTTTTTTTCCCTCCCACGCCTCCTTTCAACTTTAATTCCCTCCCACCCTTAATCGTATTTAAAAAAAAAAAAAAATGATGACGAGAGAAAATTAAACGTGGCATTAGAAAACTCCCGACTTTTAAACTTTTGATTGTAAATTTTTTACATTTATTATCAATTTTTAAAAAAATATTTTCCCGTTTTTTTTAAAAATACTATTATCATTATTATTACGTTTAATAATCAATATTACAATTCGACGATTTTATTTCAAACCGACAAACTATTTCCGGTTTATCATCGAATAACGGTCATTACACTTCCTCTTACAAAAATTTCCCCTTCTCTCTCTCTCTCTCTCTGATATTAATTACAAACGGGAAACAATTTCGACACACAAAACACAAAATTGTATCGAAACATTTTCTCGAAATTTACTTCCGTTACTTCCGCCATCACTTCCGCCACCACCACCGCCATTTTTTTTTCCCTCCCTCTTAACTTTCTTTATTAAGTTTTTTCTTTTTCGACGAATTACTTTCTAAAAGAAAAAGTAACGAAAAGTGGATAAAGAAAGAGAGAGAGAGGGAGGGGAGGGGGGTAGAAAAATGTTGGAAAAACAAGTGACGAACGTTTTTTCTTTTCAAATCCGTTCGATTTATTTTATCGAATAAAAAAGAAAAACTTTTCCAGTTTCGAATTTCATACGTCATCGTTTCCTTTAAATCTTATTTTTTCCAGAAAAAAAAAATTTAATATCATTTTTTATCTTCCAGTTATCATCTCAAATATTTATTTACATCAACGGATGTGGAAATCGAACGCTTCGATTATTTTCCAAAAAATTTCCCGACGTCGTTATCACCGTCGTCATCGTCGTGTCTTTAAGCAAAAAAATCATCACCGGAAGTTATCATCATCATCATCATAGTGACGTAAAAAAAAAAAAAAAGATTTTTTTTTCTATAAAACTTTTGTTTTATTTTTTATTTCTATTGTTTACGTCATCGCCATTATTATTATTATTATTATGATAACAATTAATGGGGCGCGAGAACATAATTACTGTTTATATATCAAATTAATTACTCCGCCGAAACTTTTTTTTTCAGTCTCTCTTTCTCTTTCTATCTCTCTTTCTCTCTTTTTATTTTTATTCTTCCATATTTTTTCTTTTCTTTCTTTTTTTGTTTTTTTTTTTTATTTTTATCAAAATTCACCAACCTTTTGAATTTCTTTCTTTCTCTTTCTCTCTCTGTAGGTTTTTCTAGATATATATATATATATTATTTCTCTCTTTCTCTCTCTCTTTTTATTTTCACTTTTTTTTATCCTTCCCCCGTTCGAATATTAAAAAAAAAATCCGTTTTGTTTTTTTTTCTTCTTTTTTTTTTTTTTTGGTTTCCAACGATAAAAACTTCATCAAATAAATTTTTTTTTTTCCCCGGATTTATTTTTTCAATTTTCCTCACGTTCATTCTTCTCTCTCTCTCTCTCTCTTTTCCCTTTTTCTCCTTCTCTTTCTCTCCTTTTCCGTTTCTCCTTCCCTCTACCTCTTCTCTTTGTCTTTCTACCTCTCTCTCTTCCCTCACTCTTTCTATCCCTCTATTTTTCCCACTCACTCTCTCTCTCTCTTTCTCTTTTTTCCTTTTTATTCTTTTCTCTTCCTCTTTTTTTGTATCTCCATCTCTTTTTCTCACTCTTTCACTTTCTTCTCTCTTCTTCCTCTCATCCCTCTTTTTTCTTATTTTCTTTTTTGTTTACCTCTTTTTCCTCTTTCTTACTTTTCCTTTTTTCCTTTTATTTCTCTCTTTTCTTCCGTCTTTCTCATTCTCTGTCTCTTTTTCTTTTTCTCCTTTTCTTTCCCTTTCTGACTCTGCCCCCCTTTTTCATTTTTAATTGTTTTCTTTTTTTTTATTAAAAAAAACGAAAAAGAGGATTAAAAGAAAGAAAAAAAAAGTCTCAAAACTTTTCAAATTCGTCTTTTCTTTCTCCTCCTCTTTCTCCTCCTCCTCATCCTCCTCTTACTCTTCTTCCATTTTAAAAATTTTGAAAGATTTTGTGACGTTTTACAAAAAATAAAAAGAAAGAAAAATTAAATAAATAAAATTTTTAATATTATTTAATAAGTAATTAATTTTATTTAAAGAAAATCCGTCGTAATTAAATTTATTACGTAATAAAATTTTTCTTTTATTACTCTTAATTCCGACAACGAATAAATAATAATAATAATAATAATAATAATAATAATAATAATAATAACAACAATAATAATTCGATTTCGAATAGAAAAATAAATTTTTAATAAAAATGGAAACAAAAAAAAGAGAAAGAAAGAAAGATAGAGAGGGAGAGAGAGGAAGAGAGAGGGAGAAAATTTTCTTTTACTCCATAGAGTAAACTTTTT